TATATATATATATATATATATATATATATATATATATATATATATATATATATTATGTGTGTGTGCGTGTGTGTGTGAGAGAGAGAGAGAGAGAGCAGATTAAGCGTGATTTATAGTATGCCATGGTGCATCAGTAGTTCCACGTTAAGCGGTGCTATAGCTGCCACAAATTGATAGGCATTGTGAAAGTTCTCTTATATCAAGGTATACTAAACATTCAACTGCTTCTATAAGGACGCGTTTTGTTTTCGTATTACATCGATTAGTATGGCAGAAATACCAACCATGATTTTTTTCACTAATGGCCATTCCCTGATGAGGCATCGTATGATACATACCACTTGGTACATTTCAGGGCAGTTGCTTGGTAGTATTCCACATTGTGTGGCTCTGCTGCAGCGGGGGAAAAAGGCTCGTTCATGCAACATCTGCTCACATTACCATTTTTTTAACGTTTACTGCCTTTGATTGGACTTGCTGGAGACGGAAGGGCCACGTGACGAAAGCGTCCCACCTCCACGTGGGATGGCAATATGTCGCTTTTGAAGACAGCCTTTACGCAATGTGAGTTGCCGAGACGTGAGACTTTCACAAGGACGTGACGTTAGGGTGTAATAAACGGTGCTGACGTCTGCGTTCATTTTGGCGAGTATCCAGGTCTCATCAAGGAACGTTTCAGGAAGTTATAGTTGCAATGATGACGCGCTCGTCACCTGATCCACTTGGACTTTGGGACCACATGTGTCCCATTGATAAAGTCGACGCGGAATTCTTCGTAGTTCCGATAAGAGAGGAAGTGTGAAGGAGCCTGTGTAAAAAGGATGACTTCTGAAAAGAAATTGGCCACGAGGAGAGAGATGCACTTATCATTGTGACGCAATGCAGGTCATCTGCAGTGTGTGCTTTTTTTTACGTGGTTATCTCATTTCATCTGCTTATCTGCTTCTAGGCAATTTTACTGCTTATCTCATCTGCTCTAGCTGAGCAGGTCGGGTGTCGGTGTCAGTCAGATGTACAAAATTCGGGGGAAAAAAGCCATGTGGGTCGACTCATGACAGAAGTAGCCGCTTCATTCTCAAAGGTAAGAGGCCCGGACATTTCCTTTTTGCCAGTTCGCCAGCCTGGTCGGCTGTTTGGTTCCAGAATTACAGTAGGTGCTGCGCAAACGCGATTGGGCGGAATTTAAACCGGATTGAGTGAAACGTTCAGACTTGTATTGAGTTGTGGAGCCAAAGCGTAAGAGTGAAATAACAAGAAGAACAAGAATAGGGGTGGGGCACATATGACATACTCAAACTATGAATGAAAGTTTGCCACTATCGCTCAATAGAAAAGTTCACGCTGTGTAAATCATAACGCAGCATGATGTAAAAAGAAAGAATGCGGGGTTTATGCGAACCATACTACTTGCGTGCTCATTTTATTCTGTTATTATAGAAAGACCGCGAAATATGAAAAGTAACACGTGACTGCGCTGCCAGCCCCAAAAGAAAGCCGCGCCTTACTGCAAGCAACCACTTTCGCTCCTTTCTGTTGCCAGAGACAGTGTTCCAAGGGCACAGGTTGGGCATCCAAAATGTGTCGTAATTTTTCAGAAATTTCTTTCGCTTGATTATACGCCACAAATATTATCCATATCTCACGCTCAACTGTTCTCATTGATAACGTGTCCACTTTCAGCACTGTTCTCATTGCAGCTTGACTGTAAGATCAAACTGTTGCGTTTTTTTTTTTGTCAGACAAGTGATCAATATGGCGTGATTTGTATTTTTAACGTGACAGCAATACAGAGCTTGTTTTGCGGAAGTTCTGGCGTTTGCGGCGGTGTCGAAGTCTTTGGTTGTGAACGAAAAATCAGCATAATATGTGTGACCAAAAATTTAGAACGATGCAAAGAGATAAAGAATAAAAAATCCTGCGTCAGAGTGTGGATCGAATTCGAGTCATTGGCGTGGCAAGAGGGTCTTCTACCGCACGCCCATGCTGCTGCTTGTGAACACAGTGAAAATAAATTCCTCTGCTTAGAAAGGCAAGGAAACTGATTGATATGTGGGGTTTAACGTCCCAAAACCACTATATGATTATGAGAGACGCCGTAGTAGAGGGCTCCGGAAATTTAGACCACCTGGATGCAAAGAAACTAACACAGGCTTTACAAACAAACGCGTCTTGTATACATTCTTCACAATACAACATGAAATATTGCATTAATAGTGCGTGGTAGGAGCAGCCGTTGCCAGCGGACGTCAGAACATCCGATTATGGTAATGACTTCGTGGTTCAGAGCCGGTAACCCCCTATAATTGGCGCAAACACCACTGCTCCTGTTTTTAAGGCCAAGCAGTCGATGCTTAGCAAAATTTGAAAAAAAAAAGTTTTATACATTAAGTGCTTGATGTACGCACTACGACCAGAACATCGCTATTGCGTTCAACTCCAGAAGGCAAAGCCTGAAGATTCCCTATTTTTTTCTCGATACATTCCTTTCATTGACATTATCTACCTCAAAATGAGCCTGTTTACGGACGCTGCCTTACGATGCATGCCAATATGCGCAGCAGTCTAGTTGCCTGTCGTATTTCAGATTTCACGCACTTTCTTTATCAACAGGAAGAAATGAGCATGCAATTAGTACGTTGTTGAAAGCAACGCCGTGGAATAAAGTTTCAACGCACGGACATCTCCCTCATTAACGCTTTGATGAGTATAGGATTCGACTTATGAAGTCAAAAAAAAGTTATGACTAACTAACTCATTCTAATAAACAAAAAAGTGGTATTGACTACTACATACACTCGGAGCAATATGCACTAAGCATGCTTCGCGTAACGCCGTTGTTTTTTTTTTTATTTAATCACGCGGCTTAATGAATGGGACACCCCGTATTGGCCTCGAGGACATACCGTGGCGCCTCCTACGTGGTGACGTCACTCATAGGATGCTGGGTTGCGTTGTCTGCTAGAACACCGCATTTACTGTGCTTTCGCTGTGGACACCATGCGTGCTTCACTTTGTTTTGAAGCTCAGTGCTTGAAGAAGTGGTAAGACCTGATAATACGGGCAAGCAAACTACGAACCGATGCTCCCGGTGGCACTCTCACGTCTGATTTGCATCGTGAAATCGCGACTCAGAACTGGTGCAGCTATGGCGACGATGCCAGTGGTGTCGCAAAAGCAAAGCTGCCATATCTCACAACTACTAAGCAGCAAGGCGAGGGCGCGCATCCTATCTGTGATGTCAAAACCATCACAGCGCTGGCCTAGTGGAGGCCCTCGCGGCCAATTACAGCTGCATCATGCCAATACTTACTTATATGCAGCAGAAACCTAGAGGCTTAAAGACGGGGCTCCACTTAAAATGGGGATGACTCTACAGCGTCCCCATTGTGAAAAACACTTTAACTTTACAGTTACGCACAGCGCAGGCATAGCTGGTGAGATGACTCCACCTATTGTATGTTTTTTCTAAATATAAGGTAATGACATGAACAAGGTGCGATACGATTGGTTGTTGAAAATGTACTTAGCTACGCTTCCACATTAGGATGCTGTAGTGACCAAATGTCGAATTTTTAGCATTACCAAGATGCAAAAGTGGGCCAAAATAATGAAACTTCTAGACTGTACTTTCAGGACAACTTCCTGTAACTATTGAATCAGCATCAACGTTCACTACTAGTGTTCGTAAATCTACGCCTTCGTAAGTCCCTGTAAAAATCGTATAGTGGAGACAGTAAAAGGTATAAAATGAAGTATGGTTGCTGTCATTAAACTTGTTTTAAAAGTTCAGTGCTACCGCTATGGTCAACATAATGAAGTCAAAACAGCAGATAAATTTATATTCTCTAGCTCCGAATATATATCAAAAAACACCAATTCTCAAAACGCGCTATTTCTTTGTTGCAGAACACAGTAATAAATGCTAGAGAAGTTGCTCCTAATGAAAAAGTCTATAGACATATATCTCTTTCACTGTGTGCATTCAGCGTTTATGAAACACATTATTCGTTCCGGGCTTGCAGCGGAAAATTTTAGCGGACTTCTCAGCATGACGATATTATCGCAGCATGATCATTTCTTACCATCATTACATACATAATCAGATTGAGCTCTGAATATATTTAAAGAATGCAGCATAAATAGCAGTGAGCTGACAACCTTACTCATTTTTTTCATGAAAGTTTAGGCTGATATTAGCCATGTTGACAATTTTGAAAAAAAAACGCAGGGACCCTTATTTGATAACAACATGACATCACGGCAATGATCACTGCTTAAGGATTAATTCAATATAGGTATACTACTTCAACGCCGTTATCGTTCACTCTTATATGCACTGAACTCGTTTCAATTACTCCCCAACAGTTATATTTGTCCCAGAATTTCTCTCAATCACGTATTAATTACGCTAAAGCACTTTTTACTTCACATCGTAGTGCTTTAGTGGACGTTAGGTTTGTTTTAGGACACACGGAGCCACAAGATGCACTGGTTGCTCATTTTCTAACCAGTAGTGCTGCCGCTGATGCCGACGGTCAATTGCCGAGTTTAATGAAGCTTCAACAAAATATCACCCGCAACGGCGCTATAGCGGTCATGGTGCATGATTGCTGCACTGACTGTCGTGCGTTTGAATTCCTACGCACGGCCGCATTTTTAATGGAGGCGAGAATGATGGAGACTCGCATACTTCCATCTAGGTGCCGAGTAAAGAGCCAAAGGTGGCTGACGATCCCGGTTCCCTTCCTTACGGTGCCCTCGTGATCATATTGTGGTTTTTGAATGTCGAAACCTAACAAATAATAAATAAAATAGCAATCCCCAACGAGACGGCCGGGTACTAAACACAGCTGACATGCTCGTTTGACCTCCAAACTTTCAGGAAAGCATAATCTGCGAAATCCCGAATTCGAGCTAGTGTCGCTGCAGGAGTGGCACCCCCTATTCGAGATGTATTTCTTCACTGGATTGTTTTCATTTCAGCCAGCGCCGGCCCAAAAATGCGGGCAGCATTCGGTGTGTTCAAGCAGTTCTGGCCTATCCTGTACATCGTATGTGTTCCGCTTCTCCTCCTTCCAGTGGCAGCATGCATCGGAGGAAAGGTACGTGCAACTTGTGCTCTCCGTATAATGAAAACTCGACTACGACACGTGTTTTTCTAGGACGCAAGTGTTTTATGCCGGAGTCCACCATGGCTTCGCTGACGGACTTCCGTCACGGATGTGACGTTGTAAAATGTATATGAACAGATTGCGAGTAAAAAATTCGGCAGATCCCATGTACCTTGAGAATCGATATCAGGTGAAGCATGCGGATGAAATGTGAATGTGTTTAATTTTTTTTATTGAGCGAGACGGTATGAAGTAGCACTAAATCATGTACTAAATACAAATAATATCGGAGAGCTATTTATGTACACCATATACCGTTGGCAGCCTCTGGAGCTCACGAATTGTAGCGCGTTTTCGTCATCAGTAGGGAAAGATGCACTTTAAGTGTGCTCTAAAGGTCGACACCTCACGGGTCACCTCGTCAGTAACGATATGCGCACGCCTCCACAGGTTGTGGCCTCATGAGCGCGTGCTTATCTGATTCTGGCGCTTTGTACGTCTTCTGCTTCCACCATGCTTCTATCACTAGTTTGCTTTAAAATTACAGTGTTTAAAGAGAGAACGAATGTCACTTCACTCGAGGCCGTGGCCGCATTTACGAAAGGAACGCGCCGCTGACGCCAGAAGTAATAACTCGAACTATGACAGTGAGTCCGCACTCGTTCTGTGTATGCTTCTTTCGTTCTGTGTATTCTGCTTGAAGTGTGCACTGCAAGTTTCGAGCTGCTTGCCGCTCTTCGCGGGACATTACAATTTGTTGCTGTAGCATTAATTCCTTCGTGCTTGTTGCAAAACAACGCACAATAAATGCTCAGTTGTCTCTATGGACGTCTCACTTTTGTGGTAAAGCGATTCCTAGACAAAGAGACCAGCCATGTTTTTTTTAGGAGGAAGAAGACGAAGTTTTTTCTGAGTGAAACGCTGGTTTCCGTCTCTGTTATTTTTCTCGTTTTCTTTGGTGCTTGTGGAAGACGCCACTCTTCTGCCTGCGGAAATGGACGAAGGATCACCAGGGCCTCCACCCATACGTTCGGCGTCGTCTGTGGCCACTCTAACAAAGCGCTCCGGCCACCCAAGTGACGTCGACAGTGAGAACACGCTGATATACTCTACGACTAATGATGAGAGCTCCGATGAAAGTGACTTTGTGCCCGTGGCAAGACACAAGGCGAAGAGGAAGCTGCTTACGACACCCCATTCCCAAAGTAAGGCCACCACGAATATTCAAGAGCCGCCGGTTCACACTATTTTGATGGCCCGCTGAATGCCACTGACAGCATGAACCGACTTAATCACCAGGTCACGTCTATGTCACTTGAGGAGCTTGTTCCGGGACAAATAACAGACGTGGGAATCAACGACTGCAAGAACGTTTTAGCGATAGACGTTCCGCAACGTACTGTTCTCGACGTATTGACCAAAGTGAATGTGCTGGGGAACATCAACGTACGTTCTTTCATACCAGATGGCAAGGACTCTAGGGCAGGCCTTATCTACGACGTCGACACTTCTATCAGCGATATTGATTTTCCTATTCTAATCAAACCAGGGACGGAAGCTACTATAATCTTGCAAGCCCGCCGTCTCGGGAACTCACGATGCGTGAAACTAGTTTTCAAGGGTGACAGCCTCCCAACTCATGTAAGAGTTGGTCATTTTCGACACACAGTACGACTGTTCATGCCGAAACCTCTTCAGTGTCGGAAGTGCTGTAAAATAGGACACGTGAGTGCTGTTTGCACAAGTTCTGCTGTGTGCTCTCGGTGCTCGGAGTCGCACTACACGGAAGCCTGCCAGGCAGAACATCACAAGTGCGCCAGTTGCCAAGGTCCTCACGAGGCGTCATCAAAGCAGTGCCCAAATGTGAAGAAGGAGATGCAAGTGCTGAGGCAGATGGCCAGAGACGGTTCCACCAACAGGGAGGCTGCTGCCAGAAAGCGTCGTCGGCGTTCGCGCCATAGGAAAACTCCTAGGACATCCTCTGCCAAAGCCAGGGATACACCACTACCCCATATCACGCACTCACCACCACAAGCATCAACAAGTGCCAACAACAAGCATCCTCAGAAAGATGCAAGAAACATTGACCCTGACGCGTGGCGAGCGCTGCCGTCAGTGACACCGCCAGTAGAGCCGCAGCATCGCCCACTCAAAACTACTTCAGAGCGAGTAAGTCATGAAAGTCAAGATAACGAAATAATAGACGTGATTAAGACCCTCATGAAGACAATTCGAGTACTCCTGAATAATATTCAGACTCCGGCTGCCCACAGCGCTCCTCAAATATTGGACGCTTTGAATCCGGTGCTATCAAATCTATAGAAGCACCATGGCTCTCTCTCTGCAGCCCTTCCGTAAACAAGTGAAAGAGGCATCAATTTTCCAATGGAATGCCCGAGGTCTTAAACCCCGCATTTCGGATTTTCGACCATATGTTTTCAAGAATCAGTTTCCAATTATCGTAATTTGTGAACCACGTCTTCACAATGCTATACGACTTTCTAAATACGAGGCTTTCAGATCTGCAACCCGTAACGAAACCAGTAAGGTCATTGTTTACATCAGGTGCGAACTCACATATATTGAGCATGCAGTAACACCGGATGACAGCAACCAATACGTGTGCCTGACAGTTAAGCGTAAGAACGTGAACTTCACGCTAGTGGCAGTATATATTTCGCCTTCAGGCCGCTTCGACCCAGCAAGATTAAGCGCCATTATATCAGCGACACCTGGGCCATGGATTATTACTGGTGATTTTAACGCTCATCACCCCTTGTGGGGAAGCCAGAAGATGGACCGTCGGGGAAGAAATGTGTCCTCCTTTGCATCTGACCACCAACTATATTGTTTAAATGACGGCACTCCCACGTTTTTACGGGGTCTGACATATAGTAGCTGTCTCGACCTAACTTTTGTGTCAAGTAGCCTAAGTACCAAGGTGCAGTGGTTTGCGGACAATGAAACGCATGGCAGTGACCACAACCCCACCTATATAAAGATCAAGGAGCTAAACAAGTCGCAAATCGCGCCCGCTTCACGGATAGACTGGTCAAAGTACAGATCATCCACAGAGAAGCAATGCGAGAGAAACCAAGAAGGTTTTCTTGAAAGCCTAGAAGGTATAATGATGGCCGCTATCCAAGAGGCAATGTTTAATTGTGGACCTTTGCCAGATTTTTGCAAATATGAGGTGGAGTTGAAGCGACTTCGCGCAATCCGTCGTCGCGCCGAACGACGTTATAGGCGCACGAAATCGATCTACGACTTGAGGGAAGCGAGACGTCTACAAAAGAAGATTAGACGTCGAATCAATGCACTGCAGTCGCTACGATGGAAGTCACTATGCGAGTCGCTCGATCCCCACAAACCTCTTTCGCAAATATGGTGAAATATCCGCGGCCTACGAACATTGCCACAACAGCATTGTCCGTTCAAATGCCTTGCTCTCCACCAAAGCCGGCGTGAAATTGATGAAGCGGAACACTTCTGTGCCAGGGTTGCAAACAAGGGTCCGTGATCAACATGAGTAACCTACGAAACGCGCCGGTGTCCAGAGACACTCGGAGGGACAATATGTTTTCTCTAGAGGAGCTTCAGGCAGCATCGGCAGCATGCAAGCGCTCGTCATCGCCTGGACCCGATGGAGTCTCTTACATGGCCCTTGCTAACCTAGGACGAACAGCTCGGCGTGCCCTTCTAGCTGTATACAATGACTCGTGGAGCAACGGTTTGGTTCTTCCTTCGTGGAAGTGCAAATGCCTTGTGCCCCTGCTCAAACCAGGCAAATCGCCTCTGGACATGGCCTTCTATCGCCCCATAACGCTTGCCAGCTGTTTTGGAAAGGTGATGGAGAGAATGGTGCTGACTCGCCTGGAGTGGTACTTCGAACATAACAATATATACCCTGATGCTTTGACCGGCTTTCGACGTGGACCGTCTTCCATAGACAATGTTGTTGATCTTGTCACGTCTGTACAACAGCAGAAAAGCCTAAAGAAATTATCAGCGGCACTTTTCTTGGATATTAAGGCTGCATACGACAATGTACTCCATGAAACCATCCTGGACGCCTTGGGCAGCATTAGATTGGGAGGCCGCGTTTACCAATGGATCTACAGCTATTTGAAGGACAGAACCTTCTTCATTCAGACAGAAGATGGCGCAGCAAGGCAACATCATACTTATCGCTGCGTACCTCAAGGTGGGGTCCTAAGCCCCATACTTTTCAACCTTGCGCTCATCGGCCTCGTTGACGTCCTGTCACACTCCGTACATCTGTCGATATACGCGGATGACATCTGCATCTGGGCATCAGGGGTCACGCGTCTACACGTACCAGCCAGGCTTCAGACAGTGGCTACACTGACGTCAAAGTACCTTCAAAGACGAGGACTGGAGCTGTCATCTGAGAAATTCTCAGTGGTTGCGTTTACGCGCAAGACAATGACGCCATACGACATCAGAATTAATGGACACACGATCAGCTATCAAAAGACTCACCGTTTTCTGGGAGTAATATTAGATCGTGATTTGTCTTGAAGCCCTCATATCGCTTACATGAAGAAGAAACTGACCATGATCACCCACGTCCTAAGGTTTCTTGCGGGAAAATCATGGGGTGCATCAGTACGAGTCATGCTTCAACTGTATGCTGCACTGTTTCTTGGCTTCATGTGCTACAGCCTACCTGTGCTTGGCAAGGCCCGCATAACAAACGTACACGTCCTCCAGCCATCACAAGCTCAAGCACTGAGAATATGCCTCGGGCTGCCGAGATGCGCATCCTCAGCAGCGGCAGTCACAATTGCTCATGAACACCTTATCACAACCTACATTCGTGTCGATGCTTTAAGAACGCACATAAGACATGCCACCCGGATTCAATCGCATCACCTCGCCTCCCTTCCAATTTCCAGGCCACGCTCTGCGTTCTGCTCCATTATTGCCTCACATCGCACGGTGATTCCCACGAACTTCACGCACACAGCAAGACCGTCGTTACCATTGTGGTGTCTACATCCACTGGAAGCCCTGATAACCATCCCCGGAATGCAAAAGAAGAAAAATTTGTCAAATTTGGCCCTAAAACAAACAACATTACTGTTTCTGCATGAGAAACACAGTGGACGCATTCACATTTACATGGATGGGTCGGTCACTTCAACAAGTTCAACAGGCGCAGTGGTAATTCCGGAGAAATCCATCACGATAAAGTTCAGGACCTCGCATCTGACATCATCCACGGCGGCAGAACTAGCCGCCCTTCGTGCCGCTCTGTAGTTCCTAGTTGAAGAACCGCAACAGACCTGGTCAATATTCTCCGACTTCAAAGCAGCTCTCCAGGGCATTGCCTCGCCATATCATCATGGACCAAACGAACAGCTAATTGCTGAAATACGACTGCTTCATCACCGGGCTTTAGAGAAACAACATGACATAGCGTATCAATGGATACCAGGCCACTGCAGCATTGATGGAAACGACCGTGCAGATGAAGCAGCCTGAACTGCTCATGATGATGCCCCTTGTGTAGCTATACCATTATCAAGAACGGACACTGCTGCAAGGCTTCGATCACTTGCACGAGAACTGACACTCGCTCAGTGGAATTCACCGGCATTCACCAACGTCCGCCTTCAGAGTTTGGACCCACTCCTACAGTTCCGTCTTCCATCAGGAATAACCTGAGCAGAGGAGACACTTTTGTGCCGTCTGTAGATTGGGGGGGGAGGGGGCCTTTACGAATGCTTATTCGGTTCGAATCGAAATGGCCAGCAGCCCGACATGTGACAACTGTGGCTGCGCAGAGACTTTCTCCCATTTTCTCTGCGGGTGTCCTCGCTTCAGCGTGCCAAGAAAAGAACTGTCGAAAGCTTTAGATAGAATAGATAATCGCCATTTGTCGGAAGAAAGGGTATTAGGACACTGGCCAAGACCGTCCTCTGCACGCAAGGCATTGAGAGCGTTGTTGCGCTTTCTGTGGGCAAGTGGTTTTAGAGACAGACTGTAAACAGCGTCATGGATCGTCTGATGACCTTCTTTCTCTTTTTTTACAAGGTCTCTTTTCTCTCATCCTTTATCCCCCTCGCCCCCTTCCCCAGTACAAGGTAGCCAGCCGGTCTGAGAACTGGCTAACCTCCCTGTCCTTCCTCATTTATTCCTCCTCCTCCTCTTCCACGTTTTTTTATCTTCTGATATACTTTTTGTAACCCTTAGTGAAAACGTCCTTGCATGCAGCGCGTAGGATAATCCTACGCAATAGATTAGACAATTGTGTGTACTATAATCGCAAGACAACGAATGCTTAAGTTAGAACTCTTTTTGTCAATGCTATAACTATTTTTGTTTGTCCGACTGCATGCGCAGCAATTCCCACGGCAGACTAGTTCGTCCCTACCAAAAAACTGTTTGCCAGATCGACATTTATGTAGCAATGTTGGTACATCGTTTGGGCGTCTATTCGTGGAAGGAAAATTTACTGTGCCACAACGAACCAATTAGTTTTGTAACTGTTTTCTGTTAACTGTGTACAGTGCTTCATTGTGTTCATCTTTTGTGAAAAAATAACCAGCCGTGAGCAGGACCTGCTCACGGCTGGTTATTTTTTAATCCACTTTTCTTTCCTCTTATTCACATTCCATTGGGTCTAATAACTTCCCCTGCACATTCCTTGGCATTACTGTCTGTTATATGTCATATATATATAATATATATATAATATATATATATATATAAGAACTTGAAGGGAAGGCACGACAGGTCCGGGTATTTTCTATATTGAATTAACTTGCAGATAGCACATAAGAAAAGGATCGTATTTACTAACGTTTCGGCCGTGGCACGGCCTTCGTCAGAGACTATATATATATATATATATATATATATATATATATATATATATATATATATATATATATATATATATATATATATATATATATATATATATATATATATATATATATGAAAGTAGATGCGCTTTCACATAACAACTGTTTATTGTGGCGACGTTTCGACAGGAACCTTGTCTTTTTCAAGGCATAATACTATTTACACATGTTCCGTGCCTTTTTATATCCTGTCCAGACAGGAGGGGAGGGGTCAATTGAGAGAGAGAGAGAAAAAAAAAGAAGAAACAGCGAAACGGGAGGACAAACATTAAATAAAATATAGAAAATCTAGGAGAAGAAGCAAGACCGACACGGCGTAATTAGAAAGGGGCAGCATTTCAACAGAGTAGGGCAGAGGTAGATGAGGAATGTCATCATTGTCAACAATACCTCCCCCGCACCAACACTTCCCCAAGTGGGCAGGGAGCCGCCGTTTTTGTATTTCACCTTTCCGTGTAGTCCGCTGGCGGCTCGTTCCTCTTTGAAGTGTATGACAAGTTAATGGGGAGGGCTTAAGCGCTTTAAGTGCATGCTGGTGGCGTCGGGAGGAGCGAAAAAGCCGGTGAATGAGGCACCACCATCGATATTCATTATATGCATTGGCTCCTTGTCAGTGAAGGAACAGAATGTGCGTTAAAAATTAAAGAAGGAGAAAAAAAACAAGGGGGGGGAGGGGGTTGAGTGTACGACATGCGAGACAGTCACCACACAGTTGCGGCTCACTGGGAAGACATGCGCGCATGCACGAAAAAGTTAACGAAACCACCTAGCTGTCAGCTTCTTGTCAGTGAAGGAACATAATGTGCGTTGCAACTTTATATATATATCTATATATATATATATATATATATATATATATATATATATATATATATATATATATACTCAATAATAGTAGTTGGGGGATGGTCGCCGTGGTAGCTCAGTTGGTAGAGCATCGAACGCGTTATTCGAAGGTCGCAGGTTCGGTTCTTGCCCACGGCAAGTTATATTTTACTCACAATTCTTTCTTCATATTTACATTACCATTCGGTCTAATAACTTCCCTATACTTTGCTTGGCGTTCTCATTGTGTCAAAGCACGGAAAAAACGAGCCCTTAAGTATGCATTTGTTTCTATATATAAGTATAGTGTGAGCGTAGACGTGGGTGTAAGCACGAGCTGGCGTAAGGCTAATAATAACGCTGATGTTTGGCACTGATCACCGTTGGTTCGCCCAAAAACGTGGAACTCACACGCATTGACGAAGTGTGATTTGCGCTTAAGGCTCACTCATATTCAGACTCGCCGATAGTTTCCTCAACAGGACTCACTTGATGTGAAATTCACCAAAACATTACTCACCTGGCCTCACTCAGACTCACCGCTTTATTTGAGTCTGGGTGACTCACAACGAGTCGACTCATGAGTGGGTTTTGCCGACCAATGCATGGCACTGTTCACCTTCGGAACTGCGGCATTGCTGAATGCATACTATCCTTGATAGCATGGCCTCATTTTCGCCCCCATTTACGAGGTGTGACCACATGCGTATCAAAGCTGACCCAGGATGTGGCCGCAGATGACGCGAATGCAAGCACAAAACATTATTTAAATATGCCATGTAGCAAGAGAAGGACTTACATTTGATAACACAAAAAGAAATTGATGGTCATTCTCGGCACTCACACACACGCTAAACAAGGTTGCCGAAAGTTTGAAGATAGATAAGTAGTAAATGGCATGAGGACATAATTTTGAAGCCATCGCTAACTCTATACCATCATCGTTGTCGTTGTCATTCATCATCACCACAATCATTACAACTATGACTTCGCCCTCTGCAGGACAAAGGCCTCTCCCACGTTAGGCCAATCCATCCGGTCATGCGCTTGACGTGGCCATGTTATACCCCAAACTTCTTAATCACATCTTCCCATCCAACGTTCTGTCTTCGCCATGCTCTTTTGCCTTATCTGGAAATCAAGTCATATCAAGGGCTTGTTTAATCATTTATTATTGACGTTAGTTCTAAGGTGGCGGAGCACCTTCAAGCATCAACGTGGCTGCTTCGGTGACATAGCTTCCACACACCAATAGGCGTTTGTGAAGCCTCTCATGTCAAATGGTGACATAGCTTCCACACACCAATAGGCATTCGTGGAGCCTCTCATGCCAATGTATGCTGAACGTTCAACTACTGACGTAAGGACCGATTTTACTTTTGTGTTACACCGATCCTCATGAAAGAGGCATCAACTATGTTCTTAATTACACTCAAAATCTAATCATACCGACGTTCTTTGCATCTCTCTCCTGCCAAAATGCGGCCAACGTTGCCGGGAATCAAATTCGCATTTTTGAGTTTCTACAGCATCGCGAATACTCACGTGATAGCTAAGCATGGCACTTGTTTTTGTTTTATTCACCAAATATTACATGCGGGATATTTCTGTAAAAGCGACGGCCGTATACATTTGGTGATCGTTTGAGAAGTTTCTTAGTTTAAGTGAAATAATAACGTTCGTCACAAAAAAAAATGAAAACTACCTAAATTCTCGATTTCGCTGTATAACACTCGCACGCCGATGTTCGTAAGCCTTGGGGCTTTCCTTGCTTCACTTTGTGTTTCTTTGTACCGGTGAATAGAATCTTGGAGGCCAAGTAGAAAAAAGCGCGTGGTTGAGATATGCTGCACCAGCCGGCGCAACAATCCCAAGTTTTACCAAGAAAAAATTGTGCTCTTTCAATGAACTCGCATAATTAACTTTCCTTGACTAACTTCATAATCCATTCATCTAAAAGAAGCGTATGCTCCCGTACCATATGTGTTCACTCCGAAGTTGAACCAGTAACGTCTGTTTCAATGTGTTTTTTTACGACTCTTTCCTTTCAATATTCAGAATAGCAATAGTTGGTGTGCAAGCGGAATTGCTCGAAAAATAAACAATTGAGAGTGCCCCTCTAAACCCATGCCGCTATGTTCCACCAAAATGAGTCACGTGTATAAGTGTGCGTACTTGCAATCTATACGCCCTTAAGCGCAGAAAAAAAGAGGAGGCGTGGATAATAAAGTTTGCTCATCTCATTCTATCTTCCTGCACTCAGGCAGGCTGGTGCGCCTACATCCTTCTCTGGATGGCCTGCTACTGGTCAGCGGAAGTCGTGCCTCTGGCTGCCACTTCAATGATGCCACTGTTCCTATTCCCGTTCTTCGGGATCATGCCGTCCAGTAAAGTGGCCACCTTTTACTTGAATGTGAGTGATGTTTGTCACCTGACGTGAACTTTCCTTCTTCTATTCGTCTATGAAGTGTGTAAGCCCTTAGGGCAGAATAAAGAACTCTGCTTCGTTTCACAAGCTGTTGCCAGTACGGTCGAAGGCACACAACTGGTCTCAGACAATTATGACAGAGCCCACCACATAATAGTGCTCTTGCGCTAACGTGGCTTTCGTGAATTTGACAAGAAGCGCCGCTTGTGAGGAAAAGTGTGCACCACACTAATTCAAGAGTCAAGATTCAAGATTGTTTATTGTCTCTTTTTCATTTTCACCAAATACATGCATGAATGTCAGGATCCTTAGCCTATTGGCTAGTAATGGATCCATTAAAAACATAATACAAATGAATCAGGGGCTATGTATGTACAACCACATGTTTGGGGGGAAATGTAGTATATACAGGTGTTCAAAAAATTGTCCATAAAAAGCATGTGTATGAATAGGAAAGACACATTCAAGATAAATTACAGTGCTAAAAACAAACGCTTGGTTCTATACAAAAAAAACAACTATGAATAAGACAGCTGTGTATAGTTCTCTTTGCAATAACACACATACAGAAGACCACACGTCAGGACTGCAGTACATCGTCAGTGGTAGAGGCTGCAAATTTTATCGTCGTCCCCAAAACAGCAGCAGTAGGAAAAACATGTACAAGGTATTATAAGTTGATGTTATTTTCAATTTTTCCCCCTTTTTTTTCCTACTTTTTGTTCTTCGATAAGCTGGATGTTGTGTGATGCAAGAAAGTCTTTTAAAGCCTTATCTACCCTGGTTGATTGTAAAACGGATGACGGGAGATCATTCCAAACTTTAACCCCGGCGTACTTGAGACGGCGTTGTCCGTATGTGTTATGAGAGAGAGGGATTAAAAATTTGCCTTCGGAGGCAGAGCGACTACTTTTACCTGGTGTTTGGAAAATAGTTCTAGGAAAGGGGAAGTTGTTACAAATTATTTTATATACCAAGAGAGTTATACGATAATCTCGTAGCGTAAGCACGGGCATTATTGCGGTTTTGGAAAATAGAGGCTGAGAGGGTGTACGAGGGGGAACATGGTTTATTATTCTCAAGGCTCTCTTTTGTAGGCATATTATGTGCTTGATGTATGTGTGATAGGTGAATCCCCAACACTTGATGCAATATGTTATCTGAGATTGGAACAGAGAGAAGTAGATGGTGCGCAAGATATCAGTTTCAAAATGCTGTCGAGCTTTGGTCAGGGTAAAACAGACAGAGGAAAGTTTCTTCCCCAGTGTGTCTAAATGGGGCTTCCAGTTTAACGCATCGTCCAGCATTACGCCTAAATATGAGATCCTACCGACTTTTTCTATTTCTTTATCATTGACCTTCAGCTTGCCCATAGTGAAGTCTACAGGCTTGCAAGGGGATTTAAAAACTATATATTTGGTTTTATCGGTGTTTAAAGTAAGCCTATTTGTTGAACCACTCGCTGATTTTTAAAAGTTCGTCATTTAAAATATGTGCCGCAGTATGAAGTGACGGGGTGGTGAAAACTAGCGCTGTGTCATCCGCGTACATTACAGCACTTACCCTAGAAAGACAATTGGTTAAATCGTTAATATATAACGTAAAAGAATGGGTCCGAGAACGGAGCCCTGTGGTACTCCCGCATCTACTGGTCTTAAACTGAAAACATGCTCGTCAATAACTACCCTTTGGTATCGCCCATTTAGATAACTTTTAAAAAACTGGAGGGACTGGCCTCTGAATCCGTATCGCTCAAGCTTTTGGCTTATTATTTCAAGATGAACTGTATCAAACGCTTTTCTAATGTCTAGAAACACACCTATAGCAAATTGGTTGTTGTTGAGGGCCTCATTAATTACATCTGTCACGGAAAGTACTGCAAATAGAGTTGATTTGGCTTTCTGAAAGCCATGTTGGTCCAGCGATAGAATACCGTTTTTATGCAGGAAATTCTTTACTCGCATCGCTAATAACTTGTCGAACAACGTATTAATGCAGCTTAAGACGCAGCTTAAGAATTAAGTAGCACGTGACTCTTGGCACATTTCTCGTCCGTTCTTGCTAATGTTGGACAGGCCCGCTTCCATTCAAAAAGAAATTGCCCAGCTTTTTCTATTTATTTTTAGTTCCACCTGTTCCTATGAGTCTGTCTCATCACAGCTTTCCTTTAGTGTTGCGTATAGAAACTCATGGGTAAAGAAAACATGTTTTTTAAATAATTCAATCAATCAAGTGCCGTGAATCGTTCAGTCAATTAACGAACGAATCATTTTGCTGGACTGCCAACAGCTTGTAAATCAGATTATTCTTTTTCTGAAGCTGTTGGAAGCACTGGCAAAGGTAGAGCTCTTTCGTGCAATTAAAGCCGTGTGAGGATAGCAAATAGTCCTTGCCCTATCTTTGCACTCTGTAAATATTTGCTCACTACAAGCACATGAAATGCGAGTATTTTCAGGATTGATATTTTGAAGCACTCAAACGGTTTTAGTATTTGATGAAACTAATAGAAAAGGACCACACGGATGAAGCCGGGTGAAGATTTGTGGCGAGGTGGTGATGCAACATTTTTTCTTGGAATATGGCATGACCTGAGTTGGTCGTGTGTCGACAAGGCGTCGCAAAAACTGTCGTTGGTGAACCACCATTGAGAGCCCGTGATCTTCCGAAGCTGATCAAGCAAAAAGACCTTTGTGTCGAGTGCGGGGAAAGTGCGGCCGTGGATTCACTCACCAAAGCGAGGGAAGGACCTACCCAGTTAATCATTATGGGGCGCATGTAGAAAGAGATCAATCGCTATTATTGCGTTCATAGTAGCAAACATAAAAACCAGTAACCGTGTTCTATATTGTAGGAAAATACTGCTTCAAAATGACTGATTCAATGATTACTTCGTTGATGGACTCAATGATATATTTAAATTTACTTATTCTATGATTGATGTAAATATTTTTTGTAAGCCTGTGGCATTAACACCCGAAGAAGTCTGTTATGTGACGAGAACTCATAAAAACAGGTAAAATTAAGTATAAGGAGACAAAGTCAGGCCAACTTTTTTTTCTTGAAGAGGACGTTGGCGGGTCCAAAAATAAAACATACAGATCGAGAATGTGCCAAGCGCCACATGCTACAAATTTTGAAAAGTTAGTTATTCTGATAAACCATTTTCTAAGTAGATGGTAACACCTGTGCGATTTACAAAAGCGACATTCACGTATAGGAGCACATATATGTATTGCGCTCTGTCATGGTTGGTTGAGGTCGCCCGTATACGTTCCCCTTCACTTCCAACAGCATGTGGAACGGCGTATAGTGCTTCTAAAATTTCACTGAACAGTGTTTGTCAGCGAGCAGTTAATTCCAAGAATCAAGGAACTACATTTGCAACATAAATAATTGAGGTTCAACCAAATCGAATAGCTTCGAACAGTAGCTGCAAAGTATAGCATGTTACCGCTTTTCGTCTAAGTTGACCTCGAAGTATCATGTTGGAAAAAATTGTTTATTCTTAAAAGAAGGAAAGAAAAAAGTGAAAAATTCATAAACATGGCCAAGCGTTAAGAGCTCATGTTTCTGATCAGATCGGAGTTCATAATTTGTCGTTACGAAAGACACTTGCACCGCTAAGTATTCCGCAGCCCTCAACACCTATTGAATTTCGGGGTACATGACATGATCATCTGGCCTATTTTGTATGGCATATATTTTTGTGTACCTATACACACATACACGTGTGTGTGATGCACAATGTCAGTTGTCTCTGTGGTGATATTTACTTCGTGCAGGATATAGCGTTTGTGCTGCTTTGTTCTCTAGTCATGGCTGGAGCCGTTGAAATAAGCAACCTGCACAGGAGGATAGCCCTCCGGTCTTTACTCGCCATTGGAACAAGTAATCTCAGGTATGAATTCTCTAGACAGAAGGCTCGCTAAATGTGATGATTACGAGCCAAAATCATATTCTTTCCAGCAAAGATGGCTTAAAAAAATGCTGTAGCATGCGAACAGCACCAAATGCTTTTCCATTTTCTTAGTAGCCGTAACACTTGGTCTTTGCACATATTTCACTGAAAAAAAGTACAAAGCATGTTGACTAGTCCGACCAAATTGAATATTAAATGCTAATATGTCATCGCGTACCCTTATTTATTGAAAAATGTAGCATTGTGTAGAAATACGTCCCATTTACTACATTTACTATGACACGTAGTTTCCTCGTATTTGCTTTTTCAGGCTTTTGCTTGGCTTTATGCTAGTCACCATGGTACTATCCATGTGGATTCCGAACACTGCATCAACCTCCATTATGGCACCCATAGCCATGGCTGTGGTAGACGTGATGCACACCTCCACGAAATCTCATTCCAAGGACGTTGAAAGTAAGTGGTATACCGCGAATAACTCCGTTGCGTATTTTATTCTAAGCGAGATAACATCTCCGCAGTAGAATGGGTATAACCACTTGAATGCTCGATCGTGAACATTAGTAACGTAGCCTTTTTGGCGTGTTGGCATGTCATACTCTAGCTCTTCAACACACGAAAAAAGACGTTACAAGTGTGCATCTCGTGTTTCTCGGTCCCTGTTTCATCCTGCACTAAAACTGCAGCGCAGATTGGGACGATGTTTCTAATGGCAGACTGAAGTTGAATCAACGCGTTCTGAAGCCACTGTAACCGTGGTGGCTATATCATCATCATCATCATCATCATCATCATCATCATCATCGTCATCATCATCATCATCATCATCAGCCTGACTACGTCCACTGCAGGACAAATGCCTCTCCCATGTTGCGCCAGTTAACCCGGTCCTGTGCTTGCTGCTGCCAATTTATACCCGCTGTCACACAGTTTATTCACGTACAGACCTACTGGAAGGCCGAGGAACGCCAGAAGAGCGAGGAACGCCAACAGGCCGAAATTACAAAACAAACGCAAGCTCGGGTCGCGCGTGCACCAGCGCTGTGGCTTGCCGTTTCATGCTGCTTCGTCGTCGTTCGCATACTTTTTTGCAGACTAGTTGGTTCATACTTGAAAAATTGAATTGCTGCACAAACTTGAAGAAAAAAACAAGAGAGACAGGAAAGAGTGCAGTACTCTTTCCTGTCTCTCTTGTTTTTTTCTTCAAGTTTGTGCAGCAATTCAATTTTTCGTTCGCATAGTTCCCTACATTGGCCCCCGGTGAATAGCGTAGCCAACCTGGCGACTTAAGGCGTTGTCACTATAGCGGGGTCGTAATACGGCTTCAGGCGACTCACATGCACAATTTCTCGGCCACGACGGCGTAAGTCATGAGACTGTGTCAATGGCTCAATCTCATAATTGACGGGTGACGTACGGGCGAGAATGCGGTAGGGCCCGTGGTATCGTGCCAGTAATTTCGACGAAAGGCCAGGAGTGCTCGGTGGAACCCAGAGCCAAACGAGAGCACCAGTCGTGAAAGTAGAGAGATGTCAGCCGGTGTCAAGCCGTAGCTTCTGGTGGCCTTGGTGCTCGGTTGTCAGAGAACGGGCCAATCGTCTGCAATCTTCTGCGTACCTGGCAACATCAGAAATTTCAGTGTACTCAGAGGAGACGCCCGACTCCTGGGAGGATAGTGTCCAGCGTGCACGATGGTTAGCGTCCGTACAACAGAAAGAAAGGGGAGTCCTTCCATTCCTTCCATTCGACACTGTTCTTCCATTCGTCACGCATACGTGACGAATGGAAGGACAGTGTCCCAATTAGTCTGGTCTAAAGCTGTGTACATCGTCAACATATCACCGAGAGTGCGAATAAATCGTTCTGTGAGGCCATTCGTCTGCGGGTGATATGCTGTCGTCAGGCGATGAACCATGTTGCACTGAGCGAGCAACGCTTGAATGGCGTCAGACAAGAAAACACGCCCCCGGTCGCTCAAAAGTTCGCGGGGAGCACCATGGCGAAGAACAAAGTTGCGCAAGATGAAAAAAGCAACTTCCCTCGCGGTTGCTGCGGGTAGTGCTGCTGTCTCCGCGTAATGCGTGAGGTGGTCCACGCCGACAATTATCCACCTATTTCCAGAAGACGACGTGGGAAGTGGTCCGTATAAGTCGATACCGACGCAGTCAAACGGACGCGCTGGACAAGGCAGAGGCTGAAGTGTACCGGCAGGGCGTTGAGGTGGGACTTTACGTCGCTGGCATGCAGTACAAGCACGTACGTACTTGCGGACAAATGTGTACATGCCGCGCCAGTAGTACCGCTGACGTAGACGGTTGTACGTTTTGAGAGCGCCAGCGTGAGCGCTTTGCGGGTCGTTGTGGAAAGCAGTACAGATTTCCGAGCGCATGTGGTTGGGTATCACTAACAGCCACTTCCTACCTTCAGACGTGTAATTCCGCCGATAGAGTAGGTCGTCTCGAATAGCGAAATGTGTGGCTTGACGGCGGATAGTTCTTGGCACTAAATTAGCTAACGGATCAGTCAAAAAGGCGAGGAGTTGGGAAATCCACACATCTTTGCGTTGTTCCGATGCCATGTCTGTGAAGTCGATTGGTGTTATGACAGCTGAAGGTGACGAGGAGGCTGGATCAGCCGGTAGGGGCGAGCGGGATAGCGCATCAGCGTCGGAGTGCTTGCGGCCGGATCGGTATACAACACGAATGTCGTATTCCTGTAGGCGAAGCGCCCAACGACCAAGGCGCCCCGACGGGTCTTTGAGCGATGATAGCCAGCATAGAGCGTGGTGGTCCGTGACGACTTCGAAAAAGCGGCCATAAAGGTATGGGCGGAACTTCGTCAAAGCCCAGACAATTGCGAGGCACTCTTTCTCCGTGACGGAATAATTACACTCGGCTTTCTTGAGGGTTCCACTCGCGTAAGCGACCACGTATTCTTGGTACCCTGGTTTTCGTTGAGCCAATACAGCACCAAGACCGACACCACTGGCGTCGGTGTGGACTTCCGTAGGCGCATCAGGGTCAAAATGTCGTAGAATTGGAGGTGATAATAATAACCGCCGAAGCGCGGTGAAGGATTCGTCGCACTCTTTTGACCAAGCAGAAATGCCTTTGGAAGTTGTCAACAGGTTGGTAAGAGGCGCGATGATGGAAGAGAAGTTGCGCACAAATCGACGAAAGTATGAGCACAGGCCGATAAAACTTCGAAGCTTCTTGATGGAATTGGGCTTCGGATAGTCGGCCACGGCGCGGAGTTTTGCCGGATCCGGGAGAACACCCTCTTTGCAGACGACGTGACTCAGTATGGTGAGCTGACGTGCGGCAAAATGGCACTTCTTGAGGTTAAGTTGAAGGCCAGCAGAGATGAGACACGTGAGAATAGCACGAAGACGAACAAGGTGAGTGGAAAAGTCGCGAGAAAAAACGACGATATCGTCTAAGTAGCAAAGGCACGTGTTCCACTTGTAGCCGCGAAGGATGGTGTCCATCATCCGTTCGAAGGTAGCTGGGGCGTTGCAGAGTCCAAACGGCATGACGTTAAACTCATACAGCCCATCAGGTGTTACAAATGCAGTCTTCGATCGGTCAGGATCAGCCATTGGAACTTGCCAATATCCTGAGCGTAAATATAAGGAGGAGAAATATTCTGCCCCTTGCAAGCAATCGAGAGCGTCGTCGATGCGTGGCAACGGGTACACATCCTTCCGAGTTATCTTATTGAGCCGGCGGTAGTCGACACAGAATCGGATAGACCCATCCTTTTTGCGCACAAGTACAACAGGGGACGACCAAAGGCTCTGCGATGGCTGGATGACACCACGCTTGAGCATATCGTCGACTTGTTCGTTGATAATACGGCGCTCTTCCGCTGAAACTCGATATGGTCGTTGGCGTAAGGGAGCATGAGTACCGGTGTCAATGTGATGCGTGATGTTCGCTGTGCGACCCAAAGATGGTTGAGCGCAATCGAAGACAGAACGGAACTCTCGAAGAAGGGACAAGAGTTCGCTTCTTTGTGTCGGCGATAGCTCAGCGGCAACAGAGGGCTGGAATGAGTCTGGCGCGGGCACTGTGGCCACAGGTGGCGTCATAGCATTGAGCTGGAGGTGAGGTGCGTGTTCGGCGAACTCTAGAGGGCGCAAGAGGTCAACGTCTTGTATGTTACCCAAACATTCTCCGCGAAGTAAGGTAACTGGCGACGATAGCGAGTTCGCGACGAGCATGGCGGTAGCACCGGATTCCACGGTGGAGTACGGCAAAGGGCAGGTGTAGGCTACGGCGGCGGGTAAATACGTCAGACGGACGTGAACAAAACAGTTCCGGCAGGAGCTGCCGTACAGGTCAGGGCTACAAGGGCGGATGTTGTCGGTGCTATTTCCGTGTCTGCAACAACGACAAGTTTGTAAGGTTCAGGAAGAGAATCCACAAAACAAGAGGTTGGCAGCGGTGTAAGGGCAACTTCTGCACGTGAGCGATCTATGATGGCCCGATGACGCGAAAGAAAGTCCCATCCAAGAATGACTTCGTGGGAGCAGGATGCCAGCACAAAAAATTCAATGGCATAAAGTTCACCTTGGATAATGACACGTGCAGTGCACCGCAAACTTCTTAATCTCATCTGCTCACCTAACTTTTTGTCTCCCCCTAACCCGCTTGCCTTCTCTGGGAATCCAGTTAGTTGCCCTTAATGACCAGCGGTTATCCTGTCTACGCGCTACATGCCCGGCCCATGTCCATTTTTTCTTCTTGATTTCAACTTTGATATCTTTAACACCCGTTTGTTCCTTAATTCACTCTACTCTCTTCTTGTCTCTTAAGGTTACACCTACCATTTTTGTTTCCATTGCTCAGTGCGTCGTCCTCAATTTAAGCGTAACCCTCTTTGTAAGTCTCCAGTTTTCTGCTCCGTAGCTAAGTACCGGCAAGATACAGCTGTTATATACATTCCTCTTGAGGGATAGTGGCATGTGCCCGGTGGCTATATAGTGAGAACCTAAAATGCTCGTGCGGTGCACAATCAGTCGTCGGCTTTCCTTTTGCCATGAAGCATGGTTTCATATTCTTTAATGCAGTCCTGACTTTACATGAGCTTCTTTGGTGGAGATTCAAGCAGCATGCTATAAGCTCCTGTCGTCATATTGAAAAACTACAATGCCCCGTCGAAAGAAAAGAAGCTTGATACGTCAAACGGCATAAATTATCATAAAGAAAGAGAAGTATATATGTATGCCTATTGGCCAGTAATTCCAGTTGAACACATGCAGATCCTATGTAAAACACATTATGATGCACGAGGCCTGGTATACTTTACGTATTCAGTACACGAATATATCGGAACTCCGATTGTTCGTATGGTATTACTAGATTCGTGATGTAACTTATGTAACTTTTATAGACAGTGTGATGCTGCTGGAGATTGCCTTGAAGCCAGGTTGTATGCGGTAATTTTGGAGTGGTGTGGGGGCACCTATCTCTTCAATTTAAAGAAGAGGCCGGGCAGGCAAATGGCCATTTTGTGCTGTGTATACCTGGCGAAAACGATTTTCAGGAGAGGGGGGGGGGGGGCGGACCCTCAGTGCTTTCTCCTGACTACAACGCCTCTGCCTTGAATATGATACTGAGTGCAAAACAAGAGCTCAGGCAGTTTGATATCACACAGTGCTAGGTAAGAATTGTGCATGTGAATAGACCATTAAAGCACACCTATTGTAACGTGAAAATTGCGAAACGCAAAGGGTGGAACGTCGAAAAGAGGCGGATTTTAAGCAGCCAGAATCTGGCCTAGAGGAAGCTTGTGTTTTATGGCTGTCGTTAACAACGAGGCTTGCTTGCTCGTGTGCTTCGTCATCGTCTTCTCTTCACTATAATATAGATATACCTTGGAATATTAAGTGGTGCTCTACTCGGAAACTGGAAGTGCGTTTAAAGAAATTTTGATGCCGGAATTCTGCCTCTTAATGGTGGTTTTTACAGGTCTGGTCAGGTGCCATTTCCTCTCTGCTTTTACTGTCAAAGGCAAGAAAACATCAATTGTTTTTTTACCTACTTGCCGACGTTTCACAAGCGAAAGGGTAAAAAAAAAAACATTTGGCAAGTTAAGAAAGTAAGACTGATCTTAGTTCTGAAAATAACCTTTCCCTTGGAGCTTCTCCTCTGAGCCACAATAACAGGAACATCAGCATAGCAGTTTGCGAATTTCTTAGACACAAGAATATTTACTTGTTAGGTTATTCCTACTGAAATTCTAATCTTTTGGAATTCTCATTTATGCATTCATTTCAATTAGTAATGTACCTAATTTATTCGTACGCAATGCTATGACTGTCTAATTTTACATTTTTTTGATGACTGAAAAATTCTTTATGCTTCATCAAAATTTGAAGTTCCTTTTTCTTCATTATATAAACCACCTGTTTAATGGCCGATCCCGCACAGTGGGTACATATGTTCAATCAAGCAACCAAGCAAGTCGCTGCTGCACACATAGTAATCATGCATATTTCGTTAGATAGCTTTTTTTTAAAAGCAAAGGTGTGGTCTTTTCAAGAAAAAGATTACACTCTTTACGTCTTTCTTATTTTCCTTGCTCTCTCCTCGAAACAGACCATTGCACCGGATCATTGCATTGCAGTGAGACGCATACTTCAGGAAAACCATAACCATGACGTCACATCAAGTTAGGTATAACATTCAAATATGGACTGATTTCACAACAAAGCAGTGACACAAACGTTTTTTGGCTTTGTGTGTTACCCTCAAGACTTTCGTTCAACACAGTTCCACGACAAAAGTGTGTATCATCAATTACTGGCGGTGTCAACATAAAACACTTTTGTGGTAAACAACATTTATGAAGCGAAGTATTTTAAAAAATATCAAGCCCTCGAAAAGATATTACTTGTACATTATTTTTGTAGATTTTTCTTCATCGAAAGTGCACACTATATTATATCATTCATTTATTTTATTTCATTTATTTCCCAGAATGACGCAATCAACATTATTTACAAACACTGCTGTCTGAATTGTTGAGAAATAGAAGGCGTGGATACACATGTTGAACACAGTGAAAACTACAGTTAAACAAAATGCATGATTGCGCAACTTTTTTTTTCAAATCGCTAAACGTCGAGTGTGCGCAGAGACCTGCCAAGCTCATTCGTATATTGAGGGTCCGCAGGAAAAAACCGAAAAACTTCAAGCAATTAGGACTATCTCTAAAGGGTGTAATATACAAGTGATCGAGTCGTCAGGTACGGCATGCGAAAGCTGCCACAAAAGAAATGGGAGTGAAACAATTCCCGTCGAAAAATGTGGGCACAAAACAATCCCTGAAAAGGAGAGGTCACAAAGTTCAACTCGGTACGCTGCGAGAAATCTTAGTCGAAACGTTCGCCGCCGCCGCCGCCGCCGCCGCCGCCGCCGCCGCTGCCGCTGCCGCTGCTGCTGCTGCTGCCGCTGCTGCTGCCGCTGCTGCTGCTGCTGCTTGCTGCTGCTGCTGCTGCTGCTGCTGCTGCTGCTGCTGCTGCTGCTTAAAAAATCCAAGCTGGTGTGAACTATCTTATGCAAGGGGATGACACGATCACAAGTCGCCGATGTTCGAGAGGCTGTAGCGATAAAACATGTGCACGTGAGCTAGGCGAGAACCAGCGATCATAGCGACAAAATATAAACCTTATTGCTTTTTTTAACAGATTCTAAATGCGAAACAATAAGCAATAGGCAGAGCTGTCAACTGCTTGGGCTGCATAAAGCATCAGAAGTTTCAGTTTCCTATGGTATATCAAACGAGCCCCATATTTGGGTGTGACATGTCTTTCGGGATAGCGCCTATTAGACAAATGATAGTTCAGCGCTCTAGTTGCACTTCTGTTTCAATTTTGATCTGTTTGTTTTTTTGATTATGTGAATTAAAAGTGAAGTAATGAGTCACTCGTATGTTGCAGGTTCGAACCTCGAATTTCTAATGAAGCAACAGGAGCCAGTTTACAAATATAACAAGATCTCAAGCAGAAAAGATTCATCTAACACTGCTGATTCCGAGTAAGCTTAAACTTCAATCTATGCATTTCTTTTATTCCTCAAGTGTAAAGCTCTATCAATACCGTGTGACATTACCAAGCGAAATTCGTCCTACCATCTATCATAATATTTGATATATGGCTGAAGGCAGACAATGTGTACATGTGCATAGTATATATGTCGCGAGCTTGCCTTGCTATATTCCTGCCCCACCTCTCTCGTCTTACGTACGTGCCTTTAGGGCTTACAGAAGTTATGGATCAATACCAACTGGCGCTAACCCTATGTCTTTTTTTCTGGAAGATACTTTTCACCTGCCATGGTACCTTAGCAGGTAGGCGTTCTTTTTCAAGGCTCGGAGGTGTGGATTTGGTTCTCCACCACGTAGACTTCATTGTGAGAACGACCACACACCCTATTTAGATAAAGAAAATTATTCTACTGGCCCCCAATACGGTGTGGCTACTTATCATATCGTGGTTTTGGTGTAGGCCAACCAACATATTGCATTGTTATTGTCCGGAGAATTTTTTTCTGCAGACATTCAGTGGAATGTGGCCGATGCTCATGGCCATTTTATGACATCCCGAAATCCAACCGCTGCTGTTACGTTGAAAAATATCTCTATGAGTGTTCCAAATGAACTAGGAGATAGAAGCCCTCAAAATTCTAACTTCCTGAAATGGGTGAAAAAATCAACATGTATGTGCATGCTATTTGCTGTTGAACTCCAATGAACCTCAATGCCGCACCGAGTGCATAAGAACATAAGCGATATGTGTACTGTGACCTATATTTCTAATGCTGACATAGTAACGTAAGCATAAAACTTTGCTACCGTGTTATGTTGTTGAAGAGATAGTCGTGGTTGCAGCTGAAGGTTAAAGTATTTATTAGGCGGAATAATGCAGTCTATCGGCGTCCAGAAAAAAGAGCAATTCAGAATAATATACGTCCTCGGCAATATGGTAGCAGTAAGGGGTGTTTGCGGAATTTGAAGCCAATTTAGTGGACTGTGTATTTAACTGAGAGGGAGCGTTAAATGACCCCCAATGTTCTAGAAACAGGCGTGTTTTGAAAACAGGCGAATGATTCAGAGGATCTTGTTCTCCTATTCCTGGACACATGTATTGTGCACGAGAAAAGCTTGTTCAACATCGCTTACAGCTGAATATATTTTAAAGAAGAACGCTCTGTGACTTTTAGAGCACTGAAGAGGCGTTACGCTGTAATAAACTGGAGGTAATGCCGTAAAAATCACGCCGTAATAAACTGGAGGTTCTCAGTAAAGGGTCCCTCTAACTACGTAAAAACACCTATCTTGCGTATGGTTAGTTCGTGATGAACTAAGGCACGACTTTTTAAACTTTACTATGAAAAAGCGAACGCCTACTGCATGCATGTTAATGCTCCGCACCAATTCGAAGTAACCAAAATTGTTACAAAACCAACATGAATACCAAAACTTTTGTGAAAAGGGTTATGTAGCGCATAACTATTGTAATGAGTATCAGATTTAGTATGCCACTACGTTGACTGTATGCCTTCACCCGCTGCAGTGATGTATTACTTGTGGGAATTGAGGCTGGCCCGCTGCCTTTAAGCGGGCTTTCCCGCCTTTTCTGCCGTTCTCATGTCCCGACAAGTCTGCCCTCCGTTGCTGTCTGCCGCGCTGAGAGAGCGGAGTGACGTTTAACTCCCTCACCCGGTAGCGGATGCTGACGGTGGCGCCGCGCGCGGGGACTCCCAAGAGAGGTTTTCGCGCGCTGCGTCGGGAGCGGGCAGATACTCTCCGGGACAGCAAACGGTGAGCACGCTATCTTTTCGTCCGTCGACTCCCGTCAGTCGGGGGCTCGTCGGACTTCGCTGACGGCGCCTTGCGCCCAAGGCGAACGCTCACCCGCTGTTTGCCCCGCTGCGTACGCACGGCCGAAGGGCGGTACGGTGTCCTAGTGCGTGGCCTCGCTACGCCGACCCGTCTCCCTTCGAAGCCAACGCGAGCGCCTTTGCCCTCGCTCGAGCAACCGGGCCTTTGCTCCGGTGTCTCCGTGGATCAGCTTTACCGCGGAGACGTGCTCGTGGCACCCCTGTGTAGTACTTTGTGCCCGTGGCGTGGATAAGCCTACTTGCTTTCCCGCCGCGCCTATTTGCAACGGGCTGTACTGCGTTTGGTGTTGCCACAATAAAGTGTTGCGACTTGAGCAGTATCGTGTTTCCCGCCACGGCGACGGTTAACGCGTGCTCTGCGGCTCGCTAGGACCGGACCCACGCTGGTGGCCGTACTCCTTCGGGATACGTGTACACCACACTGGCGCCCAACGCGGTATCAAAAGCTCTAGCTTTTGATTGCTCTTAGCGAGTCAGTTCGCCTGCGCGATTCGGGCTCGTCGCAACATGGCTGCTTCGCGGGACTTTTGTCCGCTGTCCCTTTTAGCGGATGCCGCGTTGCACACGGAGGCCATTGCCTCTATGGACGGAACCCTTCTGCACCCGTCCGTGTCGGCACCCCCTATTGCGGTGACGACACGGGGCGCCTAGCCGCTCCCTTTGGAGATGGCGCGTCGCTTCGGAATGGGCCTCTTGCCCTACCCGAACGTTACGCACAAGCGCCTCCGACTGCTAATGCGCCCTTTGGCATGCATGGCAGTTCGTCGGCACAGCGCTCGCAGTCGGTTCCCTGCGGAATTGACGGGGCCCTCGCCGACTTTTGCCCGCTATCAGCCGTGCAACCGACACTTCGACCGCACGCTGCGCAGGCGCCTGAATTGTCGATGGTAGCCGCACCAAGTGCGCCTTTGTTTCGACCACAGGCAAATCCCATAAGGAGCCTATTTTGCTCTGGGAATGGCGCGCCGGGCGGTGGTCTGTTTGAAACCGCCCCACTGATCGAGCTGGGCGACTGCTCGCCTTCGCTCGACCGCGCCGCTAACGCACCAACGGTTTCCTACGAAGCCGATGCGACGACGCAGACTTTGCTGCAAAACGCCGTGCAGATGATCCAAGCACTCTCGGGAGCTGTGCAAACGCTTTCGGCTGTTCCGAAAAGCGGTCACCCCGCTGTTATGTTGCCTGTGCCAACCTACAGCGGATACGGTGATCAGCTCACCGCCCGAGATTACCTCGACTCTCTGTCACGTTATCAGAGAGCGATGGGTTTGGATGATAAGGTGGTGCTCGAACGTGTTGTTCCAGCTGCACTGACTGACACGGCGGCGAGATGGTATCGGCTTTCCGGTTACCGTGCAGCAAACCTCGAGGAATTTCGTGCGGTCTTTTTGCGCGAATTCCTACCCGCTGACTACGAAAGTAGGATGCGGCGAGAGCTCGAGCTCCGTACACAAGCTCCTGACGAGTCTTTACAGGAGTATGTACGGGCGATGGATGAACTTATTTCTATCGCTGAGCCCCGAGCCTCGAACGAGGAACGCGTCGAACGGGTGATACGGCAGGCACATCCGACTTTTTCGGCATACCTGCGCGGCGGCCGCTTCAGTGATTTGGAAGCGTTGGCCGCCGAGGCGAAGCGCATCCAAGGCGACATTCTCGCCGCGCGTGCCTATCGCCCGCCGCCGCCAGCCAGCGACGCCCTTGAGCCGCGCTGCGCTTGGAGAGGGGCCATGACCCTTCCCCAACGGCAACAGCCTCTCGGCGCCGCCTTTGCGGCTCCAACCGGCTGTGCGTGGGAGTTGAGTGATCGCGCTCTTGACCCCTTTACGCATGAAAGGCGGGCAGCCTGCGCTGCTCCACCTGAAACCTCCACACAGGGACGCTTTTCGACCCAACGTAATGTGGGAGGTGCGGCTCGCAGAAACGTATCCTACGATAACGTAGCGAGCCGATCACGACAGCTCGAAGCTGCTCCGTCTGGGAATACAGACCGTGATGGAGTGCGCTGTTACCGCTGCCGTGAAAGAGGGCACATAGCAAGGGAATGCACCGGATCCAGGCCTCCTGCGAGGCAGGGAAACGGGCTTCCGGGTCGTTCGTGAATGCACGACCGACCCAACCTTTGCTTCTTCCCTCTGCGTGCAGGGCAAGCACTTTTCTTGCTGATACGCACGCGCCGTTCATTCCGGTCACCATTGCCGGCCGTGAATTTTCGGCTTTGCTGGACACGGGCGCTAGCGCCTCGTTGTTTGGCGAACAGGTGTTGTCCCACTTGCAGAAGCACTCGGTGCGCTTGCGGGACAGCCGAACGACATTCACCCTTGCGAAAGGCGTGGCCCATTCGGCAGGCGCTGCAAGGTTGACTGTCCGATGGGGAGATCGAATGAGACGCTGCCGTCTTATTCATCTCCCAGGGCTCAATGTTCCAGTGATTCTCGGTCGGGACTTTCTCCTTAAAACCGGTATCGTTGTGGACATTGCGAATGGCGGCTATCGTGATGGCCCATTTTGCCAACTCAAGCCGTTCATCAGCCCGCCGGCGCTTACCGTCGCCTTTGCGGCAGAAGCGTCGGAAACGTGCCCTGCGCAGAGTTCCGCTCACCGCATTTGCCCTCTCACAGTCCCCTTTGGGAACGAGAGGCGCGGCACGAACCGTGTCGTGCGCCAACTCCGGGGTCGTACCCTGGCGTTCCACGCTCGTCGGCTCGAAACCCCTGCTTGGATCGACCGGCACGACACGAAGAGGCACTACATCCTTTGGTCGCCTGCGCGACTCAGTTGGATGAAGCACAGAAGGCTCGTCTGTCGACACTGTTATGTCAGTACGACGAGCTCTTCACCGATCAACCTGGCTGCACCGATTTTGTGAGCCATGTGATCGAAACTGGCGACGCGCTTCCTTTGAAGTGTAACCCCAGGCCCATCAGTCTCGCCAAAAGGCAGATTATCGATGGGTTGCTAGATGACATGCTTGCGGCTGGCATTATTCGCCGCTCGTCTAGCTCCTGGGCGTCTCCAATTGTGCTAGTGCCTAAGAAAGATGGCAGTCATCGCCTGTGCGTCGACTATCGCCGTCTGAATGGAGTGACTCGTAAGGATGCCTATCCGCTCCCCACGATAAACTCCATCGTAGG